GTAATCGTAGATAAGAAAATCACAATTATCATTTGCATTTATGAATCAATCATACAGCTGCTTTACTTTCCTCATTCATGCATACGTACACATACTTTATTTTTTATTTAATCTTTTAAATAAATATTGTATATGATGGTCAATCATCAAAAAAAAAAAAATTCCCAAAAGTGAAGGAATTAATGAAAGAAAATATGGCTGTTTTTCATTTGTAAAATGATCATATGTCTCATTTTACAAATTAGTTATATGAATGTAATTCTCGTTCTTCTAAAAGATTACTAGGAATTAAAAAACCTCAAGTTATCGAAAGTCAGAAGATATTAAAAATGTAAATTGTGAAGTATGATATATGAGGATCTTAAATTATAAAGTTTCTATTATTGAATCTGTTTGTTTTACAAAATTGTGGTTTCTATTTTATATTACAAAAAAAAAATAATAAACTGTAAATAATGCATATTGATTAATTACATTAATTATGTACATTATTAATATATTTCAATATTACACATAATTTAATATTTTTCGTATAAAAACACTACAGACATAATTTATTTTTTAGAATCCTACAATTTTTGATACTGCAAAATTTTATTCTCTATTATTTTTTTATCAAATCATATATTTTCTGCTCTTATCAGTTCTAATGAGAAATGTTATCAAAAGAAACAAAATACTGCACTCTGAAAATATACAATGCCGCATTTCTTAATTAAATCCCTTGCATAACTTTTAGTCTCTCATCACTCTTATCTTGTGTACCACAAATAGATGAAGAATCTCTGCTCATTGTCACGACGTAATCATTATAACTCGCTATTATTTGCATGGGAAAGGATATTCACCCCCGCAATCTTTTACTAAATTAAATTATCGGGAAATGCATAACGATTTTTTGCCACATCTAAAAAGCGACAAATTATAAATTATAAATTAAATTATAAATTAAAATGTAGATATATCACAAAGTCATCATCTTATTTTCGCGAAAATTATATTGTTAGATTATTATTGTGTTGTTTTGGTGGATTAATATTATTAAATTACATTAAAAAAGAAAATAAAAATGCAAAATGATTAAAAAAGAAAATGTTATTGTATTTACATCTCTGTTTTTTTTTATACTTTTCTGATTACAATTTTTTTTAATTATTTAGGGAAGAAAAATTTAACGGAAAGAACTAACCGTTTTTACTTTATAATAAATTTTGATAATTGTGTACTAATTAAAGTATTTTTCGTATAAAGGTAAAGGATCTTTTCACTGCAAATAAAAGATGGATACTCTTAGAATAGTTACAGTCATTTATTCGTTTTCACATATAAAACGTATCAAGAGAAAAACGGCCCATTATTTCTCGAAGGCTTCCGTTACTCTTGCTACATCTTCTATTGCGCAAAACCATATGACATAATATAAAAATGACTCTCCCTAAAAATTCATAATGAGTGTTTCCGTTTGTTTATTCGGAATTATAGATTACGCTCGCTTTAATCTCTTTTTCTCTTTCTCGATGCCCTACTTATTTGTTATCAATATATAATAGTTGACATTATTCTGTCGCTCTATAACTAAATATCTTTTCTATACATTCTCTATGATTTATTTCATAAATTCCATGCGCTTTTTTTTACACTATATATTGTTGTTAGATTATTTCATATAATGTAGTCGTGTGATTCTCTAACGATATCAACCGATCTTATTTTATCTCCTCTCGCGATTACTTATTACACAAATTATTTATCAAACGTATTCACGATACACGAGTGCCGTATATATATTCTCATATTTAAAATTCACATAAAGAGAAAACAAGACAGTTGAAAGACTATTCCTGCGGCATGCAGAGGACAACAAACATTTCGTGCAATATTATTTTAATGGTAAATATATACGTTGCGTTTAAATAAAATCATGAATAGAAAAAAGTATGGAAGGTTAGTAGCAGGAATAATAAAAACATCCTTCTTTTCACCACAATCGTTTCGTACCTTTTGTTAGCTCCCGTTTATCCCGCACTAACGAGGAAACTTTCGGAAGCTTCTTTGAATTTAACAAATTCCGAATTTGTCATAGAATAGCTCGGAAAACGAAAGATCGACTCTTTTATTTTTTTCCAGATGCTCTAGCAGAAAAAATACCCAGCTCATTAAAATTATTTCCGATATAGGTATCTGAATGTCTCCCCTTTTTCATTTATCCTTTCCATACTTCTATGAATACCTTTTACTTAATATAGACATTAAAAAAAAACTGACGATTTAAAACGTTTGGCAAAGAATCTTTCTCTTCTGTCGCGACACCAAGGGTAGAGATAATAGCTGCGCACCAAGAGTATTCTCGTTTTAATTTACGAATAATTTAAGAATAATGATGATTTCGTGTCGCTTACAACATGATGAACATTTCAGATTATTTCAGCGAAGTTTTTTTTTAATAAAGTCAATGTTATCTTTAAATATAAATATTGACGAGAAAAAAATTGCGCTAGCCCCCAGAATGCATTAAATTATAGATCTGTTCTTTTAGCTAAACTTCTTGCACATTCATCTTTTCTATTTTTCTCTCCTATACGAAAAGAAAAGAGAAACGACAAGACAAATCGACAAGAAGTTAGTTTAGTTAAAGAGAACAGGTTTTACGATTCATTCATTGGAAGTATTTACTCGTTATTAATTATTACGAAATGTGAGCGCATCTGCGACAGCTTTTTACATAAAATACTATAGTAATAACCACTATATAATAAAGATCTAAGGACGAATTTTGAATAAAATACTGTATCACAAGTGACAGGAGCGCGAAAGGCGTGGACGCGAAGTTATTTCCATAAAAAATTTGTTTAAAGAAATATGTGTAAAATATGAATGTGTATCAGCGTCTATAAAGGCGAGAGAGAATTCGAGTTTACTAAAAACGGGGCTGTAAACTGCAAAGAAACTATAGCTCGCAAAATATATTCCTTGACAATTAGCTTCTACGCCCATCGAGTTAAGTCCGCCACATGATCGCGCAAAGTGTATAAATCTTTTCTTAATATAACGTTTAATTTATAACAATTAATTCGATTGCAGTATGATAATCAAGGCCGTCGAGGCTGATAAATGATTGCGATAATCAAGCGGGTTTCTTATCAACATACTCTCTAAATTCCTTGAAGTGAGATCTCATTCTAAAGAATGAAGATTGAGCTTGAAAAAAGATGACTCAAATACTTTAAGAGTGAGATTCACTCTAAAAGATTTAGAAAGTATAGACCAGTATATTCCTAGTTTGTTTTTATTTTAAGATCATCTTAAGTAAATGTATTAAGGTGCTAATATACCTCATGCTTGGCTTGTCACATCTTAAGACTTAAGACGCTCTTAAATAATCTTGAATATCGGCCTAGTAATCTTTCTTTCAACGCAATATACACGATTATTCATTATAATTTGTCTTACCGATGATATCGGTGTATAAATGTGACATAATAAACTTTACATATTAAGATAATCCTTCCGTAAACGTTAGTTGTAATTGAGTTTTAAATGATACTTTTGTCTCTTCCTATTTTCATACATAAAAAGAAACATAAGCTCGATTAATCCTCCTTTGATTTTAACTAATTTTCACGGGAACGGCATATAGAAATATAAACATACATATTTCGCGATAAAGCAATTCTCTGTCGAAAGTTTCTGCTAGAAATCGCATAACAACGACACGCCACGCGATGATTATCACTACACGATTTAGCGCTTTGCTGAAAGCGAAGGAACCAAAGACCAGCTGTCAGCACATAATCGAACTTTCAAAAAAGCTAATTAATTTGCGTATACCTAATATTGTAGGATTGCTGTAATGAGTAGCCACTTAAATCTATTTAAATGGACAAGCTCTCTTAAAAAATAAGTGTAATCACTGTACAAAACAGTTTCAATCTAGCACATCTCTCGCCATCAGAACGTGCACTTGATACCTTTAGTCTCCAAAAACGTAACAACGTCTCGCTCAAATATTGTCACTCTTCGTTTTGATTAATGCGATATTTTACTCTTTCAAAGACTAATAAAAATATAGATACGAGGTGTCCCGAAGAAACTCCAACCTTAATCTTAAAAAATTCTTCTCACTGAAAAAAATCTGCCTGTCAAGATTTGTTAAAATTTAGGCCGGGCGTTTCAGGGCACGCTGTACGTGAGCACAAGCCGCGTTTCTCATCGTTATTTTAAAAAACGCACACGATCGATGTATTAGGAACAAAAACGGCACGTAGACGTTCCATCGTGTGAACACCGAAAACGATGTTACAATAATCTAAAGATCCAAACCGCTTCCGTATATACTCTCGCAATGTATCCAGGTACATATTCGATACGACGCAAATGATTTGTTAAAAAATACACAAGACACTATACAAAAGTTGCGGCTTTTCTTTCGAATCTTCTTTCGTCAAACGTATGGCTTATAGGAACATCCAATTGTGAAGGGTTCTCACGCGCCGCGACATGATTATCGTGTGCGAGTCTCGTCTTCGCGTGCATCAACCGTGATTTTTATGCGTTTTGGCCTGCCACGTTTTCCCTTAGTCGCGGTACTGACAACTGAATTTCGTTTCACCGCCTTGCGCGCACCGCTCGTCCTACGGACAGTCCTCGCCGCGTTAATCTCACGCGCGTTCACGTTGACGCTTTTCTCACTCTCGATGGCTCTTCTCGAGCGTCGGGTACGTCCGGCTATTTGCTCCATTTCGTCGTACTCGGCCTGCAAACGACGCGCCAGCTCGAAATCCGCCCGCTCTTGCAACAACATTCGCTCGATTCGCTGCTGCTCCTCGATCAGTTCCTCATCCGAGAGTTTGTCCATAGGACGTTCGTTTTCCGAGACACATTCCATCTCGTCGCAAGACTCCGGCGGTGAGTCATAATTGAACTTGCTATTACTCTTATTACATGCACTATCTAATTCACCTGCCGTGGAGGAGGTCGTCGTTGAGTTACGTACGGACTTCCTTTTGCTCATTTTTCGTCGCTTCGTCCTTCCCGTGAAATTTTCGTCGGCCTCCGTACTATCTTGAGATGTCGAGAACGTGACTTGGTCTTCGTCTATCCTCTCAAGTAAAGCTTTCTTCTTCGTTGCTGTTCTGCTTTTTTTAGACGCAGTAGATTCCATTTCTGGCTCCGACATCTTTATGTCTGCGTTTTCTTTTCTCCTTTTAATTCGTTCGGCTATATTTTCGACAGCTATGTTATCGTCGTCATTCCGCTCGCCGTCTTGTTGGCTTGTTTTATTGAATGACGGATTGGAGTTCGTTGGATCGTCCTCCTCTTCGTCTATCACGTTCACAGTAAGTCTGCTTTCTTTCCTGCTGCTTCGCAAATTTTTATACCGATTAGATTTCGCTACCATACCATTTTGCATGATCGATCTCCAGGACTTGCGTGTTTTCCTCGCATCCCATTCCTCATCATCCGACTTCTTGCTCACCTTAGTACCATTAATTATTTTATTTGTATTCTTCGTATAATTTTTATTGCTATCGAACGATGATTCGGGTATAAAATCAAGTCGACGGATAGCATCATTTGTCTGAGATTTCGTCGACTTATTCGAAATCGTTTGGGAATGAACGAATGACGTCGATGGTTTCTGATCAATCGGTATCCTCGGCGTATTATCTTTCAGATTGTGCACTGCGTGTTTCTCCTTTGCGTCCTGTCTTATTTTACCTGTAACGACATCTTATAATTAAATAAAAAAGCAGACATTTTTAATTATAGTTTTAAGAATTTAATTAATCGTATATAACAGGTCTGTTCTTTAACAGATTAAACTGTTGCCTAAATTATGTACTTGTACTTAAAATGAAACAGATATATATTTAAACAAAAGCGAGACAGAAAATTTGCATGCAAACATCCAAAATTTACCTCTGAAGGCGCTCCAAGAGCATCCAATACGTTTCACGTGTGTCAACGATGGGGCTGTCGGCTCTGCGTTAGATACTTTCTTTAAAATAGGGATCACCCTAATTAACTTCGGATCAATCTGTTTTCCATCTGAGAACAGATACACACAACATAAATATTAGATTTCTTTTACAAACAATCATGTTATCAAATATTATTTCTTCTTTTTTTTTCTGATAAATATAATATACATATACCTGAAGAAATTTGCAATTTCGTCCTTGGCGCTGTCTTAATCGGTTTGAAATGATGGATTTCTTGATTTATACTGTCGTGACTGCCAGAGCTTTCGGCGCTACCTATCCTCTCGTCATCATCAGTCAGCGTCATGCACACCTCTACCCCGAGACTCTTCTTCTTGTTGTTTACTACATCGCTCGGTATTCGTAACTCTTCCTTAGTCTCTATCGCGTAAGTCCTGGACGTGGAGCATCCGGGATCAGTGGAATAATTTGAAGTGCTAGGTTGGGTAAACTTTGATACTGTTTGATGCTTCTTCGCAACGGCGTTATAAACGGGTAATTGTTTCTGGCAACAATATGTAGGCGGATTTTTATGCGTGCTGGACACGTTTATCTCCTTAGAGCCGCATACATTGGAATACATTCCCATCTTGGATAACAATGCATTCATTTGTCTTGTTTTTGAGTTGTCCTTGACAGACTCAGGAAGACCCATGTGCCTGCCTTCTAAGCATGCAGTTTCGGTTCGTGGTGCTTCAGTATTATTTACACGTATAGCTGTATAGTTAAACTTGGACTCGTTAAAAACATAATTCGGCACTGATGTGGTCAAGCATTCGTTATAACATTTTGTAGCTTCCTTCTGTTGCTGCTTTGCCAGGCTCTTGGCTAGCAATTGATCCTGCGCCAACTGTGCCAACAATATCTGATCCTCCGCCTGAATCTTTTGAATCAATGCCTCACTGGCCATTTGTTCAGCTTGCCTCTCACGACGCATCTCTTCCTGGGCCATTTGAAGTTGAGCCTTGTATTCCCGGTGTATCTCTCCAGCTGCACTGAGTATTCTATTTGCTGCATAATCTGTTCAAGAGAAGAATACTTTTCTATAGTATCTTGTGACAAAATTATCCAATTTACGAAGTACTCTTATTTTACGTATTGAATACTATGTATAATATTTTTCAATTATAATCATTTTATATCAATAATTTATATAAGCAAGATTACGTTTTAATAACTTTTTATTGATGTTAAAGATATTGTCAAGACGAGATTTATTTGACGTCACTTGCTACTTAGGAAATTTAACAGATAAAAAATAATCACAACTACCAACGCTAGTATTAACCTTTAAGTAAATAAATGATTTAAAGATACCTAAGTTGATAGGTAGGGGGAGTTTGGAATACTCTAAAAAAAAATCTTCAAGTTTATAGTTATATTCCTTTATCAGTATATCATGTTATAATTAAATTTACACTAATCATTCTCTTATAGAGAGGAGAACGTAAACATGACGAAATTTAAGACTTCTAGGCATCTAAGCCATATTTTTTACTTTTCTCTTCTAGAACAAAGTTTTTAAGAAAACTATACCTAGGGTGGCCACCCCATTTAAAAGTTAAACTAAAAATCTTTGAAGAAGACAGTGAAATAAAGAAACAGTGCTGTGAAATAAAGAAACGACTACAGCATCAAAATTACATAAGCCATAGGAGTATCTATAAGAAGCATGCGAAATGTCATTCAATAAAATAAGTAAACACAATCGCTTAGGTTATGTTACATTTGTTTATTGCTGACATGCATGAGTGTATGCGTATGTATGTACGCGCGCGCGCGGATGCATGCGTGTGTGTGATGCATATATATATATATATGTACGTCACTCACCAGCGTCCAAGCCAAGATCCCCCTCCTCGCCATTGTGCTTGTTCTCGACCTCCTTCGGAAACTTGGACCTAATCAGTTGCCAAAGGCCGTGGTTTACCAAAGTTTCGGACTTGGTGGCGGTGCGCAACCAGGAACCCACCCGGACCCGACAAAGTGGGCAGGTCAGGCTGTTGTGCTCGAATGTACCCTGCAGGCAGCGTAGACAGAGGTTATGTGTGCACGGCAGCGTCACTGGTTCGATCAGAATGCCGCGACATATCGGGCACGTCAAATCGCGCAGATGCACATCCGCGGTATTACGCGACACTGTGAGATCCAACAGCTTCGATGTGCGTTTTAAATACATTTTTCCATCTTCCTGCGACCACTGACTCCGACGGCTACGACGGCCAACGTAAACGACAGCTAGATAAATTGCTGGATTTGCACTGATTTGCACCGCAACACCATTTGCACTGCGCTTGACCGACTACACTAGCGCCCGCAGTCGGAACTGTCGGAAGTATCATCCGCCGATCATCAGAATCTATCGATTCTAAGTCGATAGGCCAGTGTTCCTTCCTGTGTATCAAACTCGATTTAAAAAAAAAAACTATAAAACTTTAGAACTGAGATATCTATTAAAATTGTTAAATGTTTAATGTAAAAAAATTGTATGCAGTATTTTTTTCCTTTTTTATGTCGTTGCATAAAAAAAATATTAACAATAGTTTTTTAAACAAAAAAACTTTTGGCAAAGTTACTTATTCTTTAAAAATAGATGTACACACGAAATTGGATATCTCTAATTTATATTTTTTATTTACGATATACGTAACAATATATATTTTTAAAAAATCAGGATTCTTCTTTTTAGTCCACAGTTTCGTGTCAGAGACGTGGTGACTTCTACACAAATCACGAACAAAAGACTTAAAGATTAACAAGTACATAAAAAGAAATACATATTAATTTTATTCAATACAATTATTATTTAACAAGACATAAATTTTTAAACAATCATTACATCTCTGGAAAAAATAAATCATAAATGCAAATAAAAAATTGACAATTGATTATATGACTAAGCACAGAATTAAGATTAGAAATTCGACAGTATAAAGTCGCAGAACAATGAAAACTATAAAAAATGATCTCTCAAAACTTTGTTTTTTTCCTTTTATCTACAGTTCGTTATATTTTCCTTGGAATAGCGATTTTAAAGAAATTTAATTATTCGCAAAGCAATATAATAACGAAATTATCACTTTCCATATAGATTCACTTTCGATATAAATATATGTATTAAAAAATAGTAAAACTTATATAAGTATAACAATATTGTAATTGCATAAGATATGTATATTTTTACACATTTATGGTCCAAAGTATTATTTCGTGCACATTATACCTATATACTTTTTTGCCTTGTAACTTAATGCTAGCACAATGCGTTTGTCTCTAATCTATTCGAATATTTTATTCCAAAGATAATTCAAGACAATAAACAAGACCGATTCAAACTTATCGTCTGATTCTAGATCCCAATTTCTTTTCAATCTCTTCTCTATCCGAATCAGTAAGACAGTGGAGAAGGAAAGATTGAAGATTTGGAAAATTAAATAGTCCTATTCTAACTAACTTTAAAAATTCATCGAAAGAAATCAGTGCGCGAAAAAAATTCATAGAATTTTAAATAACAATAAACAGCGATAAATTATATAAATTTTTCTAGAAAATGTACACGCGCATAAAACAAACAACCAAAATGCGCAATTAATATTTTGTGATTCTATATATGAATGCAATATTTAGCTGTACAATTTATATGAATGCGATAAAATGATTTAAAAAATTGAGATTTGTAGTTAAAAATACATCCAATAGCACAGTGCGCCTATCTCTGCCCAAAATAATGTGTCTATCTCTTTCATAAAATATTTTAAATCCGATTTTTATCTCTGTTAAATACAAAAATTAAGTATCGAATACTTCATTATTCTGCTGTCGGTTTCTTAATCGGTAACATTACGGAAGCTTCGTATTTTTACATTAAGAATACATTTTTGTACATCTTAGACTGCGGTCTTGGCGCTTCAAACCTTACAAAGCATATACTTTGAAAGCACACAAAGCAATGCGTATGCAAACATCAATATAGCTGGATCAGCTTGGATCACTTGACGTTTCCAGTAATTCTTATTACGTCATTAATATGTCATCGTTTTCGCTCCTACTTTCGCACCAATTGTTTCATCTCGAGCTATGTTCAAATTCCCAACCGAGTGTCACTCAGATATCATTTTATTCTTATTGTCCACTAAATATTAAGGATTACATGATACTTGGGGGCGGTACTCAGGTGAGTATCTGAACACGTCCTCAGAAGATGGATTCAGTTGACTGGAGCATTTCGACATATTTAGCAGGAAAATTACATAAGAGATTGCTATAGCATGCGGAACAGTAATGTATTGATAATCCAAGCGTAGCATTTGGAACATAGCGTTTAAAGCATTTGGAAGAAGCAAGTGAACCGCAGTCTTAATCGAACATTCTGACATGTTCGTGATATACAAGGGAATAAAATCGAACATCCAATCAGCCTTATAAGGATGATTTCTCTAATTTATTGAGCGTCTATTTTGCTTTGGCTGAAGGACGATTTCTCAGATTCTTCTTCGTCGCCTGGTCAACTTCTGGGAGATCGTCATCTTCGGACAAGGCCGATTTCTTGCCTGCAAAGATACAATACGCATGTATTTTTACTTCAATGAAATAAATTTTGACGTAGATAATAAAAATAAAATCAATAGCAAAATATATAATAAAATAAATGAAGAACTTATTTTCACCTTCTCGTTTCTTCGGCTTCTGCTTCGGCTTCGTCTTCACGACAACAGGTGCAGCGTTCTCGCGTGCACGCTTGATTTGCTTCGTAATGAAGAAATATAGAAGGTAACCTTGGAAGAGCGAGACAATAATCGCTGCCGAGAATTGTACAACAGGAGTATTAAAGTTGCCGGTAACATAGTCAAGTTTAAACTCCTGTTTCCTCAAACCATACAGAAACACTACATACGTAAGCGCGATAGTCGTAATACGTGCGAACACGTAAGTTACATTGGCAACCAGGAATGACACTGTAACGAACGTCAAATATATTAATTATTATGTATAGTAATGACAAGTAATTCAATAAAAGCAACTTACATTTAGTTCTCTTTTCTTTTTGACTAATAAAGTGAACCAGTCTGGCTGCATGTAGCAAAGCATCTCCCACATAATGGAGAGTTAATAAGATTAAGGCGAGATGTTGGAAACTGAGGAGAATAACAAATATATATATTTTAACACAAATTCTGCGAAAATATAAAGTAAAGTAAATCTATATATTATAATATTACTTGAAGAAATAAGCTGCGAATGTAAAGATTAATCCAATAGTTGCATGGACGACACGTTGCAAAATATCTTCTTTTTTAGTTCGTTGAAAATAGAGCTCGGGATAGCAATGCAACCAATAAGAAAGCTGGGCGATGAAAAATAGTTTTAGGGAAGCGGACATCGGCGCTGGGTATTCTTCCCACAATGTCCATATGTTCAAAAGTATATTCTCTCTAAAAGAAAAAGAAACGTTATTCTATTGATACTTCCTCTTATATCTCTTTTTAGAATTATTTATTAAAATCTGTATCACCTGATTATAATATCAATGGCCCACAATGCAGATAATACATAAAATACAATTAATTGGCTGGACTCGTTAAATTTAGAAAGCTTAACTTTGCTAAGATGAAGTCGTTTGGAAATTTTCTGTGGACAAAAGTGATTTTATCAGTGAAAGAGTTTAAATATATTCTTATAATTAGACAATATTTTGTCATCAGAAAGGTGTATACTTACATCAAATATATATTCTTGAAGTACAGCATGCATTATGATAGTTATCAAGAAGTAAAAAAACACTGCACATGCATCTTTCCATCCTGTAGTATACTTCACCACTGCTGTTGGATCCTCGGTAGTATTGGTTACATTATGATGAATAGCAATAAACATGTAGGCCCATGGCGACGTAACCTAATATAGAAAATAATTTTGAATTTAATTCAATTTTAATTTAATAGACTACATTAAACAAGTAGTCTCAAAAAATCCACAATGTACACTCTAACAGTATAATTAGATTAATTAAATATTTTGACGAAATAATTTTAACATTTCAATAAATACTTTTCTTCTTTTTTTTAAAAATCAATATAAAAAAGGCAATTATAATAGCATATTAAATTTATAAATATAATATTAAAGATAATGTGTTTATACTAATAAGATATTTATCATAATTAAAATGTTCATAAAAATATAATGAAAACTTAAGATTAAAAAAGAAATACTGCCAAATACAATAAACAAAAATGTATGCGTATGTGTGAGTCAAATTTGTTTTGACAGGAACAACTCGTAACATATGGTCATCCTACTTTTCAGGTGTCCTCCAAATTTCCACAGAACATAATCAAGAGCGAAAGCTTCGTAGGGAATTCTCACAAAAGCGACTCTCCCGTTTTGCCAAAAGAATATAAATCGAAACGGATGTAAATTCTAAACGGAGCCGGAGAACAAACGCCGGGATAGCTGCCACCGACCTGCACCATGAGTCCAACCACGAAGACCATGGCCACGCAGGAGACGATGTCCGCATGATTTTGTATGACAAACTCGTGGCTGAGGATCGGCGGGTTCTTGCTCGAGCTCTTGCGTCCCTTTATAGTCACCATCTTGGTCGATAGGAGTGTATGTTCACTGAGCGGCGAACGCGGCACAACAGACAGACGGCGAAGGGACGAACGGCCCCACCGCAAGAAACCGGGCCACGACGTTTCACCGTCGAGGAAACGTCATGCGTGTATAGATACACACACCACACACGCGGCGGCCAACCGGGCCAACGCCGAGCAATGTGGCGCTCGTTCCCCTAACTCGTTGGCACTGCAAGCGTCATACTGACCACTGTACTCCGATACTTCAAATCATTACCCGCTTCACTGGACCTTCTTCCTATTCGTCGCAATCGCATGAAAAAATATATGTGTATTTTCAGTCTATTCTACGTAAATACTGAGCTGGACCCATCGAAGTGAAGAAGAACATCAGGGAATAAAAGGTAAACTTTTCGAGCAGACGTTCGCTTGACTTGTAGCGCGACGTAACCACCGCGCTACGCGGCTAAATTCGAATTGGAAAAAATATTTAAAGATGAATTACATTTAAAAATATTATCACCGATGAGATACTATTATATCTCGTCGTATAATACTAAAAATATATATAAACTTTATAGATTATTTCATTATTACGTGTGGATATCGTTGGGTATCACACTCATAATTTTGTACGAATCTTCTTTCAATTAATATTTTCCCTCTTTTTTAAATATCTTACAATAATCACCTATTCTAGCAACCTATTCTAATCATCTGTTCTTCAATAATCACGTATAGTAACAATTCCAGCAGCGATCAT